AGGCTGCTAGCTTTAAGTCTAAGATGTACTTTCTTGCATTCAATGTGCCTCCGCCAGGTTAGGAGTCTGTCGAGGTGGACGCCGAGATATGTTACACCGATGGCTTGGGGAATCTGCGTACTATTTAAAGTTAGCGGGGGGCACGATTGTCTGTGATGTCTTGTAGCGTTGACATTTTTCGCAGCTTCGTACATGCTGCTGTATCTCCCTGTGCATCCCTTGCCAGTAGTATGTTGCCATTATCCGGTGTTTTGCTTTTCTGACCCCTAGGTGTCCTGCTGTTGCTTCGCTGTGGTTTTATCGCAGTACTCGTGCTCTTTGACTTTTCGCCACGCATAGTTTCCATGGCTGTGTGTCCTCGTCTGCAGCCCATGACAGTAGATGTCTGTATAGTTTTCCTTTGATTATCGCGCAATCTGGCCATGTTTCGGGATTTCTTTCCAAGACTAGGAGTTTCTGTTTAATCCAGAGGTCTTCTTCGAGCTCGGCTCCGTGAGCTTCTTCTTCTGGCATTCTGGATAGTGCGTCTGCAACGACATTGAGTTTTCCTTTGCGATAGCGTATTTCGAACGAGTATGGCTGCATTTCGGGACGGGCTCTCTATCGAGTTTAGCCATTGCTAAAATGGCCTGATGATCAGTGATGACTATAAAGTGATACCCTTCCAAGTACATCCTCATTTTCTGGATGCCCCAGTGGATTGCCAGGCATTATTTTTCGGTCGCTGAGTAGTTTTGCTCGGTCTTTGTGAGCTTCCGACTGGAGTATGATATTACGTGCTCGCCGTTTTCGTCCTCTTGGGTCAGGACCGCTCCTAATCCGCAGATGCTGGCGTCCGTCTGAAGTATAAACGTTTTCCCAAAATCCGGGCAAGTCAGTACCGGTGCTTCCGTTAGTGCTTTTTTTTAGGTTTTGCGTTGCTTTTTCTGTCTCTTCGCTCCACTTAAACTTTGTGTCTTTTTTGACTAAGTTGTACAGTGGTTGTGCAAGCTACTCCCAGGAAGCTGTGTACTTGCTTTGTCGTTTGTGGGTTTGGCATGCCTAGGATTGCGGCTATCTTTCCCGGGTCAGTGTCTTTCCCCTTTGCGCTCACAACATGACCTAGGTCTTGAGTTCTTCATTGAAGAAGTGGCATTTCTCTGTGTTTATCCTCAGGCTTGCCTTGCGTAGTCTGTTCATTACTTCCTGTAGTTTTTCTAAGTGTTCCCTTTTGGTGCGCCCGATGACCACTATATCATCAAGGCATCCATCTCCGGCCCTATGACTGAGTCCAGGGCTCTTCGAAACGTGGCTAGTGCTGTGTGTAGGCCGAAAGGCATTACCTTCCACTGAAACAGTCCGCGACCTGGCACGGTGAAAGCGGTGTACTGTTTGCTCCCTTTATCCATTGGTATTTGCCAGTAGCCACTTTTTAAGCCGAGTGTACTTATATACTTGGCCTCCCATATTTGGTTGAGTATGTGATCCATTCGGGGTACCGGGTATGCGTCTCGTTCTGAGTGCTCGTTCAGTAGTCTATGCAAAATCTCTATTCTTTGTTTTTCTTTTCTACGATTACTACTGGCGAGCTGTAAGCGGAATGTGAGGGTTCGATAAGATCCTAAGCTAGGAGTTCGTCCACTTGTTTGTTTATTATTGCTTACATGGCCGGGTTTCGAGGGTAATACCTCTGTTTAATTGGGCGATCGTGTTTCATAAAGATCTTATGCGTGGCAATGTGGCTGACTCCCTTGACTTGACTCATCATATCCAAATCCTTTTTGAGGGTTTCTTGGATCTCTGCGTCTGTTAGATCGCCTGTCGCTAGTGATCCGATGCCGTGACTCTTCTGTTTTCTGTTTCTGTTTTTGTTTCTTTTTTTCCTGTGCACTTGTGCAATCAGTCGTCGGCCATTGAAGTTTATTGCTGTTGCGGGTGTGGTGTTTGCCCTGGGTGCCCGCTCTGATCCCATGGGGCTCTGGCGTTTCCCGCCGTTTCGTTCCGGCGACAGCAATATCCAGCAATATATTCTTGGTGTGTTGTTGCACTGCTGTCCTATGTGTCCCTCTTCTTTGCACCTTGAACATCTATTATTCATGCTGAATGATCTTGTGATTCCTCGGTTCATTGTTTGTGGTGGGTTCTGGGGTCTCCATTGGTTTCTTGTTTGTCTCCCGAAATTTCCGGATGTTTGCTGTTGTCTCCCGAAATTCTGCTAGGGTTCGGCATTCTCCCCGTTTAGCATACTTTTTAAATTCCACACGACTGTTCCGGTAGACCCACTCTATTTTTTTTTCTTCCGTTAGTGTGGTAAGTCTCATAATCTTCCGGAGTTCCCGCGCGTATTCCTTTGCTGGCTCGTTTGTACCCTGGTGCCTGCGTGTTATGTTTTCCATCGCTCTCTCTTCGTGGTCCGCTGGTCTGTAGTATCCCACGAATTCCTTTTTGAAGTTTTCCCACGATGGCATTGGGGTAGGATGGGTGTGCCACCAGTCCAGGGCACAGTCTCTGAGCAAAATTACCAAAGCTCCTGCTGCGTGGTCGAGCTCTATCCCATAGGCCTTTGCCAGCTCTTCCATTCTAGAAGTGAATTCTGTCGGGTCGCCCGTGCCGTCGTAAAATTCTCCCCAGCTTCGTATTACCCCCATTGTGGCCACTTTGTCGGTCTTTCTGGGCTCGTGTACGGGTTTTCCGCTGCTTGTTTCTTGTTTGTCTGGTATCTGTAGCATGTTCTGGTTTTTCTCCATTCCGTCGGGTGCTGGTGATGGAGTTCTCGCGTGCTTCTGTGCTAGGTCTTGGAGACGTTTGGTGGTTTCTTCGCTGTGGGCACCGCTCTTGATTAACTCCGACATTTGTTTCCGCATGTCCTCGCACCGTGTTTCTGGCTTGATGTCGAATTCCCTTAGATAGATTTCCAGTTGGGCCTTGTTGCAATTGCTGATCCAGCTACGAGTCAGCTTGTCTTCCATTTTTAATCCGTGCTGTGTTGAGGAAGAGGGTAAACGATCTTTGCTGGTATTTTGAGGTTTCTATCTCTTTGTTTTTAATCTGCTCGGGCGCCACTGTAACGACCCTGTTTTGGGAGGCGGTATAGCTGGTCAGGGCTCGTGACGGATATTTATATTTATTCCTCTATAGATCGATTTACCTCCCTTTCCCCATTAATGACACAGATGGGTAAAACTAGAGACGTGTATTTCAAAGTAATTGTATAATCGTGTAGTTGTGTGTAGATGCGTTGGGACTGCTTGCTCTGTCGATTCGGCGCTTCGGAAGGGCCGAGTGATGAACTGCTTGCTGTCGTGATCCGGTGTGCGAGCTTCGGCGCTGCGAAAGGGCCGAGTGATGAACCGCTTGCTGCTAGTGTCGGCGCTGCGGATGGGCCGAGTGATTAACTGCTTGCTGCGAGTGTCGGCGCTGCGAATGGGCCGAGTGACGAACTGCTTGCTGCGAGTGTCGGCGCTGCGGATGGGCCGTCGTGCGTACGTCGGGTCGAAGTGTTCTGGGTCGTTATGAGAGATCTACTTGGTTTCTAGTGGGATTCGGGAATGTAGGGCATCGTTAGTTTCGGTCTGCCGGGCATCGTTAGGTTCGAACTGCCGTTTCTACATCCGTTTCGTTTCCGGGTCGGGAGCCGGAAACGTGACTTCTGGGGGAACTCACTGAGGTGGGCCTGTATTACGAAAACCGGGCCGCCGGTGATCACGACTGGGTCTGGGATGATTTCTAGAAAACCACACCGGGACGCCAGTGATCCTGTGCAGGTCGTAGAACCGATTTAAAAACCGCTTCTTACGGATCCACTACTACTACCAAGACCATCTACCAGAACACTTACCTTGTTGCTGATGTTTCCACGAAGATCGTCGGAACGCAAGTGACTCATCTGGGGTCTTGCCTCTGCTTATATAGGCCCCGTTGAGTGTGCCCAGAGTGGTCGATGACGAGAGTCCCGATCTAGATAACTCGTTATCGGGTCACGAATATAGCGATGATAGTCAACTATCGATGTATTGGTGGAGTTAGTGTGGCCAGGTTTATCGTTTTGGGCGCGCGTTTTGAAAGTGCGCGATTTTGGCGCGTGTTTTGAATGTGGTGTAGCGTAGGGAGAATAAAAGATCATTGTGTGTTGTTTTTGGAATGTTCTTTTATTATTTGTGACGCTGGGTCGTCACAGTCTAAAAATTGTTGGCCTGTGTTATCATAAATATAAGATTTTAAGAGCTCTGGTTCTGTCAATATGTAATATCTATATATCTATCCTAGTATATCTATCAAGAGCCGTAAATAACAAGCTGTAACTTAAAACAAACAAGGGTGCAGTGCCGAACAATTGTAATCTTAAGTACAGGCCACTTGAGCCTGACCATAAATATAGTTCTTACACTGCACAAAGGGTCGCTTTGCGGGAGAACGGTGATAAGGCTCCCGCTCAGGCTTACAGATGTGGTCTCTGCGTAGACCATAGATAAGTATATTTAAGAATTTCATGTTAGTTACGTAAGCGAAGACTTAGAAAAATAAAGTCAGGTTTAAATCATAACTCAAACGTGAAGGTGGTTTTCCTTATTACAGGAATCCCTTACAATACCCTTGCAGAGGGTGTTATAATTTCAGTCAAAAGTTTGCAACGCAGTAAAGGAGACATTCCCGACCCTATTATGTATATATCAGGTTGTCAAATATCTCCTTTCCGCTTTTTTTGGTTTTTTAATTTGGCGGCTTTGTGCAAATGGCTAAATAGCGGTATCGGGCAATGCCATATATTGAAAGGTCTTGACATAACCTACAAAACGACGCTATTTATAACGAGTTTGATTATTGCGTTGAAAAGTTATACATGTGTAAACATGGAGTTCGCCTACGCCGAAATTCGCGCTGTTTTAAAGTTTTCCCTCGTAACAGGTAAATCCGCTAGAGAAACATTCCGTGAGATTAGTAATGTTTTAGGGGAGCGTACTCTATAACTTCGAACCGCGGAGGAAGGGTTTCGACGATTCAGAGCCGGTGAAAACGACACCATGGATAAGCCAGTCGGCGGAAGACCTGTGACGACAAATACCGATCAAATCATGGAAAACATCGAGATAGACCGGCATCGATCCCGTGACATCGCCGAGGAGATAGAAGTTAGTCACCAAACCGTTTTAAACCATCTGCAGAAGGCTGGATACAAAAAAAAAGCTGGATGTTTGGGTGCCGCATGATTTGACGCAAAAAAACCTGTTAGACAGAATCAACGCTGAAACGGAATGAACTCGTCCCATTTTTGAAGCGGATGGACGAAAAATGGATCACATACGACAATTGTCCAAAACAGTGGCCAAGCCGGGATTAACGGCCAAGAAAGTTTTGCTCTGTGTTTGGTGGGATTGGAAGGGAATCATACACTATGAGCTGCTTTCATATGGTCAGACGCTTAATTCTACAATCTACTGCGAACAACTGGACCGCTTGAAGCTGGCGATCGTCCAGAGCGACCAGAATTCCAACAGGAAGGGGGTAGTGTTTCACCAGGACAACGCCAGACCACACACTTCTTTAATGACTCGTCAAAAGCTACGGGAGCTTGGATGGGAGATATTATCGCATCCACCATATGGGCCGGACAAAGCGCCAAGTGACTGTTCCTGTCTATGGCGAATGCCCTTACTGGTGTAAGGTTGTGCTCAAAAGAGGGTTGTGAAAAGTGGCTGTGAGAGTTTTTCGCAAATAAGGAGGGAAATTTCTACGAGGGGGTATTATGAAGTTGCCGTCTAAATGGGAACACATTATCGAACAAAACGGGGCATATTTTAGCTAAATCTGTTCACAGTATCAATTTTTATAATGCATTGAATAAAGAGTAAAAAATCGGAAGGGAGTTATTTGACAACCTAATATATTCTTGATCAGCATCACTTTGATCGACTCTCCGATTGAGCCATGTCCGTCTGTCCGCTGTCCGTTTCTACCCAAGCTATCTGCTTGAAACTTTCCCAACAGTTGTCTCTCTTGTGAAGATAGTATATATGTCGGAACTAGCCGGATCGGGCGACTATATCATATAGCTCCCATAGTACCCTTGCAGAGGGTATTATAATTTTGGTCAAAAGTGTGCAACTCAGTGAGGGAGACATCTCCGACCCTATAAAGTATATATATTCTTGATCAGGATCGCGTCCTGAGTTGATATAAGCATGTCCGTCTGTCCGTCCGTCCGTCTGTCCGTCTGTCCGTCTGTCTGATTCTACGCAAACTAGTCTCTCAGTTTTAAAGATATCGAATTGAAACTTTGCACACACCCTTCTTTCCTTTGCACGCAGTATATATGTAGGGATCGGCCAACTATATCCTATAGCTCCCATATAACTGATTGATCGGAAATTCCATAACATTGGTGTTTGTAAAGTTAGTAGGCTGGAATCTTCTATGGGTTTTATATTTGGCCAGTCAATCCAACCTACCAAATGCCATAAGGATCGGCCGACTATATCCCATAGCTGCCATATAACTGAACGATTGGAAATGCCATAACTTTGGTGTTATTAAAGTTAGGAAGTTTTATGAGTGTTAAGAATGCATCATATGAATAATTTTGGAGAATATAATACATAATATTCTGCAAGGGCTCCGCCCGAAGTTAGCTTTCCTTTCTTGTTAATTTTTTTTTTATTCTTTCGGATTTGGTAATATTAAAATACTACGGAATTACGGTTTTAATTTAAATAAAATCTAACATCTATATAATATAGCTCCGATAGAAAATCAAAAAAATTCAAATAAAATAAAAATGAAAAAAAAAAAAATATTTTGCTGGTTTTCTATTAATCAAAATATTCCTTTGAGATATATTGATTAAATACTATATCAGAATTACGCTTTTAGTTTTATCAAAATCGGACAACAATATCATATAGCTGCCATAGAAACGATGTCGAAATGCAGCTCAAAATAATAGAGGTATAGAGTGTTACCTCAAGAGTGTTAGTTGCGCGAGAACAGATATCGGAAAAAAAAGATGTATTTTTTTGTAGTCGAACCCAGAAGCAAGAAAGAGGGGAATAATGTATCTAAGCCAAGCCACCGGTATAAAGGTCTCACCTTCCGCTCTTTCGGAAGAAATCGGTACAAGTTATCCTGTTTGCGAAATGACATAATACAGTTACTCTTGTATCGGGTTCCTTTAAATAAGTTACACAGCAATGTGTATATTGATCGACAATAATAACATAATAGTTTCTTTCATCAACACTAGAAGGAGTTATTGGACCACAAACATCATGAATTATAAATAAAGGACGCTGAATATATTCATTATTCTTAGCTTTCTCAAATGAAACTCTACCATTTATACAAGCTTCGCATAATTCATCATAAATCTTACAATTTTTTACAAGTTCTATAACACAATTTCTAAAAACTTTCCCTTGCTTATATGTCCTAATCTTTCATGCGACAAACTATAGCTTTGATTTCTTTTTGAGTCAGTTGAATATGCTTTATGGTTCATTTTAAAATTAACAATCGATACATTGCTTTTACACGTCCATTCATTGAAATTCGTATTCCCTTTGAATTTAATTCAATTGTCAAACCTGCAGCTTGCATCTTGGAGACGGACAGTAGATTTTGTGGAACATCTTTGCAAAACATTTTCCAGTGCTCAAATTAAGATTGCTGCGGAGTTGGACTGTTCTCTTTGCAGAAGCAAATATGATGTTGTTTATGATCTGGTCACCCGTATAACTTTTGCCCTACCTCAACATGAATGCAAACGATCTACCTGTTTCGGCATTAGCTCTTGGGCCTGTTTTTCCTTGTCTACCGAAATGCTGACATTTTAAATTGTTTGCATAACTTTATTGTTTGGGTTCTTACTTAAATTCTTCAGCTTAATCTCGTGGTCAAGTAAGGGATTTTTGACTAAAGAAATGTAGCGTGTAACCATTATAGCATTTGTGTTCTGGATGGGATGAATCTACACTCGCGGGGCACGCTTTAGAGTGGAGATCCACACACTTGCTACAAATTATTATTGATAAGACAAGAATTGAGCGTACTGCGACTAAAGAAAAGCTAGAAACAAAAAAAAGAATTCGAGAATTTAATAAAAGAATTTCGCAGAACACTGGTGGTATTGTGCTTGCGGTACGCCCACCCTACCTACGATCACCTGCCGCTAGAGCATGCCTCTGGTGATCCCTTGTGTACCCTAGGACCGTAGAAACATCAGCTGAGTTCAGTTAATATGATTTTAAGCTTTCATTATACCCTTGCAGAGGGTATTATAATTTCAGTTAAAAGTTTGCAAGGCAGTGAAGGAGACATTTCCGACCCTATAAAGTATATATATTCTTGATCAGCATCACCACGAGAGTCGATCTAGCCATGTCCGCCTGTCCGTCCGTCTGTCCGTCCGTCTGTCCGTCTGTTCGTCCGTCTGTCCGTCCGTTTCTACGCAAACTAGTCCCTCAGTTTTAAAGCTATCTGCTTGAAACTTTCCCAAATATTGTCTTTCTATTGCAGGTAGTATTTAAGTCGGAACGAGCCGGATCGGGCGACTATATCATATAGCTGCCATAATCCTGAACTATCGGAAAAGCCATAACTTTTGTGTTTTTAATGTTAGGAAGTTGGGATTTTCTATGAGCTTTATTTTTGGCCAATTAATCCGACTTACCAAATTTTATAAGGATCGGACGATTATATCCTATAGCCGCCATATAACTGATTGATCGGAAGTGTCATAACTTCGGTGTTTGTAAAGTTAAGAAGTTGGGATTTTCTATGGGTTTTTATTTTTGGCCAATCAATCCGACATACCAAATTTCATAATGATCGGCCGACTATCTCTTATAGATGCCATATAACTGAACGATTGGAAATGCCATAACTTTGGTGTTTTTAAAATTACGAAATTGGGACTTTTTATGAGTATTAAGAATGCATCAAATGAATAATTTTGAAGAATATAATTTACAGAATATTCTGCAAGGGTATATCAACTTCGGCTCCGTCCGAAGTAAGCTTTCCTTTCTTGTTTTAATAATATTTTTAAAGGTGAATGACATTCTTAAATTTTCTTAATGAAACTATAAAAAAATGTGTACCAGAAGATATTCATTATAAACTATGCTCAGAAATGCAAATATGTTTGTAGATAAAATGTAGATAAATAAGTATATAGGTGTATAAAAATGATTGTAAATAATTATATACTAAAATGTTGATGAAAAATAATTCGGACTAATAGCAGTGATAAACTAAATTTTGGATTTATAGCACTTCAATGATTTCTTTCTTAAATTAATTTTTCTTTATGCCGGTGGCTCAAACTAACTATTTACGTTTTCGTGTGTGTGAAAACAAAATATAATGTATATATTAATTCTCTTTTAAATTTTAATTTGTAAATGGCATGTTAAATTTAATTCAAGGTTCAGATTTCTTAAATTTTCGTTATTAAATTCCTTTTAGTGTATCTCGGTTTGTTTGAAAGAAGTTTATGTTAGATATATAAATTATATGGAAAATTTATAACTCACACAGCTGATTCCTCGGCGGATGGTCGATCTCCCGACGCAGGTAGGCTGGAAAAGAAATCAAGGCGTTTTTCCCGCATTGATATTGTAGTAGACTTTAAAACATAGTATCGAAATCAAACTAACATTAGAAAACTTTAACCAGGATGAAATAACTGTAAATTAAATCGCGCAGTTATGGAATAATTACATGACTTTCAACAAATTAATTAATTGCTTCATAATTTTTTGTATACTATAAAATTATTCTTAGAGTTATTGTTATTTCATAATTTCTTCAAATTTTCGATTATTTTTAACTTTTTGGTAATTTTAACTCTTCACATTCCTCCGTAATTTCTCTCAGTGCAGTCATTAATTCATTTTTTATCTGCACAAATCGCTGCACACTATTTTTGGTTATTGTGGAGGTTAATTTCAGGTTAACAATGAGGTAAATCCGGCGAAAGAAATTTAGCAAAAATCTGGGCGGGATACTTAATTTCTCATCTTGATAAATTTATGTATTGATTGGCTTAGTGGCTTTTAATTTCTTCGCCGGAAATTTAAGTAATATTTGGACCTGAGATTTTTAATTCGCCATCCGGATTTAGGTAATAGTTGGGCCTAGGGGTCTACTTTAATTTGGCCTCCTGGGAAAATTTAAATAATAATTGGGCATAGTGGCTTCGCGGAATCCTTTGAACGAAGGGAACCACAAATATCTAATCACAGGGTGCTCCAAGTAGCAATACTGATTGCAGGGTGCTCCGCTGGGCAACGCCAATCGCTGATTGCAGGGTGCTCCGCAGGCCGGCTGTCGGGGTCTTCCAAGCTAGACAAACCTAGCAAAAAACATCCTCCGCGTGAGAAAGAGCCTACGATCACAAAAAAAATAAATGTGCTACCAACCTTGAAATTTCTTTAGACTTTCAGCCTCAAATCACTAAAAAAATATTTAAAACTGAATTCTGTGAACTTCAGTTGCTACTACAAAAAGAATAACGTGTTCGGCAGATAAAGTTTCTATGGCGGTCACAACTCCATCGCTAACAGAAGGCAATGTTAAGAGAAGGTGTGCCACTTTATCCACCCCCTCGATTGCTCCTGATGCCATTAACACAGATCAACTCGTCAAATTTATTGAAATTAATAATGAGAAGAGTGTCGCCATTTAATTTAAACGTTAATTATTGCTTCCGCAGAGAAAGCTGCGTAGCCAAACTTTTAAGTTCATACACGTAATCTAATTTTTGAAAAATTTCTTTAGCAGTCGAATTATTGTCAGCGAATAAATGAAAAGAGTCGGTAAAAAATTCTATAATAACGCCTTTAGTTGATCTCTCTGTCTTTGTCCAGTATTCATCTACATCTTCTGGCATCTCCTCCTCAATCACAAATAAGAGATCATTTTCTGCTAAAAGTTCATCATACCACATAACTGTTCACCTTTCAACCAACTACGTACTACCGTACAATAGAAAACGAGCAAGCAAATCCCAACAGGCAGTACTGGAAGTTGGCAAAACATGTGACGGAATTGTGTTTAGAGTTAGACAGAGACAAAATCAGTAGAGAAACAAATACCTGAATTTTTGCGCAAGATTCGTCTTGGTTGGCTAGAAATACAAGCAAAGAACTTTGGGCTAGGGCCATCGGCAACGGCCACTTTATAAAAGCCTTTTTGGGAAAAGATTGTGGCCAGGTTCAGAATACAAAATGTAATAACAACGGATAAACACCGCAAGAAATATAGACAGTCAACCTCACTGCAAAAACAATGATCAACCAGTATACCGTAACGAAAGAACGCAAATGGGATCAGCATTTACCTCATGGAAGGACAAATGCCGAGACAATCGAAGACACTTTTTGGTAAAGGAACATGGTAAAAACGTCAGGTCACGAAAACACCGATCACACAAAACAAATCTAAAATAAAGGAAATATTAGATTTTGCGAAATATGAACAAAACCGCACAGGCCTAGGCAGGGCACTACAACCTTAGGAGAATACAGTGCAACCCAAAAATAGAAGATTGTGTTTTGATCAAAGAACACAAATTGTCCAAAGCGATCGAAGGATTCGCGGAGAAGATGGCGCAATGATACAAAGGACCATTTAAATGTGGATGAACATGTGGCCACCACCGGCTAAGACCTGACACAACCAAACACGAAGAAGCAAACAGGTAAACGCTAGGAGGAGCATGTAACCACCGCCCTTATACGGCCGGAAAAGACAAGTTATTTGCGTGATGAAACCTAACACAGAAACGGAAGGGGAATGATAACAAAAGTCAGAGAGTTTTCTAATTTATTCAAACCGAACAAACTGCGGTGGCTAAAATTATTAATTGCGAAAAAACGAACGAACACGAAAAAAGGTGTCGACGGCTTAATTCAATTTCAACGAATGTCTATTTTATATTTCGACAAAGTACTTAGAGCCTAGCTTAACGAAGGTTGGCGAAGACGGGGCGACTTCGCCGAGAGCGAGAGAGAACTTTATTGTGCTCCCGCCTTCGCCCTAAACTAACTTACACTAAACTTCAAGTTTTTAACAATTCCATAAAAAATTCACATTTGAGCCAACACCGGCCCCGTTGAACACCCATCCGGCTTCAACATAACGGAAGCTGCGCCAACTTATGAATGGCCCGCCGAAAAAAGCCTCCTCCACTAGTCCGGACGTGGACGACCCTGACCATGCCGTCCTGCTGAGGAGCCATTGTTGGGGCGGCAGGTTGTCCTCGGCTACGAGGACAAGATCTCCCTCGCTGATGTTGGGCTGCTGCTGGTGTCACTTGCCCCGAATTTGGAGGCCCAAGACATATTCCCGGGACCATCGCCCCCAGAACATTTGCCTGACTGACGAGACAAGCCGCCATCGCCGCAAGCAGTTGAGACCCTCCTGGTCCGGGGTCCGGAGTGCTGGTGTGGCGAGTAGCGGCCCGCCTGTCAGTAGGTGCCTGGGAGTCAGCGCCTCTCCGTCGCTTGGGTCGTTGCTGATTGCTCCGAGCGGCCGGGAGTTTATCACTGCTTCGATTCCCACGAGGACTCCCCAGCTCTTCTGCGCTTAGGAGCGCGCTGCCCACCGCCTGTAGGAGTAGGGAGGGTTTTCTGCAGAGTTGGAAAGTCAGGACCTTGTCTAATTTTTCCAACAGCAAATAATTCGAAAAATGATTCTGCTCCTATTAACATATCTATTCTTTGTGGCTTGTAGAAATAGGGGTCTGCTAGTGGTAGGTTCTTTGGAATTTTCCAGTCATTGATATTGACCGACTGGTCAGGATGATATCCTGATATTGATTTCAAAATCCAAAAATCGAAAGAGTACTCACTACCATTTATACGCGACTTCACCATTGTGTGTACCTTTTTCTTAACTTGAGAATTGGACTCGCCAATACCAAGTAAGTTTATACACGACTCCTCTTTACGGATCTGTAAGCGGTGAGCAAGGTATTATAAAATTCGTTTGGGACCCAGAGTCAAGAAGTGCTCGGGCCCAAATATATTCACCGTTTTTAGTTCTTACATTACGAGCGACGTGGCTAAAATCACTCTGTCCAATAATGTCGCATGCATAACATGTGACGTGGAAGGCTGATCTTGATTTAAAGAGGGAGAAAGAATCTCTTGGGGTGGTGGCAACGCTAAACTATTTTCGGACACTGTATATCTATGCAGTAAAAAGTGATGCGAGCGGCCACAAACTCGACATTTATTAAATTTGCATTTTGAAACATTGTGATCCTTTCGCATACAATTGATGCATAAGGAAGCAGATTTTAAAAAGTCGAACCCTTGCAATACCGAAAGGCGACCAAACGGAGCACAGTTCGCTAGGATATGGTCTCCTGCATTGCAATAGCTACAACTTTGCTGGGATTTACTGTTGGACGAAGAACAAGAAAATGAGCTGCGATTATGTGGCTTGCTCGACATAACTTTATCTTGCTTTGGTTTCGTCGATTCTTCAGCGGATAAATGCTGGTATCGGCGGTTTAACATTTTTTCAAAATCGGACCAAAGCGTTCACCTTTCATAATCTAATTGTTCTTCCCATTTTTGTTTGGTCACTGGGTCTACTCTGTTCAAAACAAGATGGATCAACATTGCATTCGAAATCTTGGTGTCGTCTCCTATCGATAACAAAGAACCGTATATAGATGATACGGTGTCGATAATATTTCTTAAAGACGACGCTGATTCTTGCGTTATTTTCGGAAGACAAATATTATTAAAAAAAATTAAAACATTCGTTATCATACACTTTTTCAGGCTGATCATCGCCTTTTCATAATTGCTCTCGGTGACTTGGTAGGCCTTAATAGTTCCCAAAACTTCACCAGAAAGACAAGAAATTAAGTGATTGAATTTTTCAATAACGGGAATGCTGTCGTCTTGATGAACATGAGTTTCGAAAAGGCTAATGGAATTCTTAAACTCCGAATATTGCCGCTGATTTTCGGCAATGGGACTACAGAAGCTGATATAATTATTTTAGTTTCGCTTGCCGCCTTCTAGGCTGAGATAAGCGACATTATTTTTGCCTTGGTTATTATTGAAAGCTCTTGCAACTTTTCTCCGAACTCTTCCTCATCATCAAAATCTTCGATCTGTTCTTGTAATTGAGTTGCCTTAATAATTGAAGCATTTAAAATCTCTAGCCAACAATTTAGTTTTACTTCTTAAATCGGAATTTGGCCGGCTTCTATTCGATCATTTAATCGGCGGATGCTCATCACTAGTTTTTTTAGCTTGTTTTTAAGATCCGCAAGGAGCTCAAGAGTTTTTGGCTTATCTGGACTCATTTTTAATTAATTTTTATATATAAGCCACGAAAATAAATAAATATATATATATAAATAAACTATTTATTCAAAGAATAATAAATATTTAAAATAAATAAAGTTTAAAACAGGATAATTGTTTAATTAGAACGACGACAAAATGTTAAATAAATTTTCGAAACAAAAACAAGAGTAAATAATAATTTAATTTAATTATAATGTTTGTTCCAAAAATTTATTTTTAATAATTATCCATAAAGAAAACGACGAAACAAAAATATTAAATTGAATATCGAGCCACGAAGTATCAAAATTAATAGTGGTTACAAATGACGGCAAAAATCGGTATACCCGTCCGAATGCAGGGTACCGCGTCACTGTGATCGTCAGCGCGCCAAGCCAAAAGTCCAACAACAATTACAACGTTGCTAACGGCGGACAAGCGAAAAAGTTCACCGCTGCAGCTGCTTGTATATGGGGGCTTATGTATTGGTTATGTATAGCGGCTGGGATGATTTTACCAACTATTAATTTTCTAGTTTCAATAAATAAATTGGGGCGACAGTGATTGCAATAATATAACACAGTTAAAGGTTGCATCCAACGCACTATGGGGTAAATGACAAAAAAATGTTCCAATTGGAATAAAATTAGTGTCAAGAAAACATAACACTATTATGCCTCAAACTCAAAATGTTAATATTTAACAGTTTAATGTTAGCATAACAGCTGTAAAGTCAGCTGTTGCATCCGAAAGAGCGCTTGCCCAGTTTTCATATTTTTTGCTGTGGTCTTTGATTTTTATTTGTTCACAAACAACTCAAAAAAAAAACGCACCAACTCTTGAATATGGATTTCTCAGGTTTGGACTATATGTTAAATATGATTAATTGCTTAAATTGTGCTTGTTTATAATACCATTTGTTAATTTTATAAATGCATCTTAAGCAGGATTTTGAGAAACAAATTTCAACTTTGGATAGGATTTTGGAAAGGAGTTTTGCATTATTTTGAAGTACGTCCAAGTGTATGTTGTAGCGTTGTCAATTGGTGGAAATGTAATTTTTCTCAGGTAACCTTACTTTTTCCAACATGGATTTGTTCGCTGTATGGTATAGGCAATTCAATGCTTTTTCGATCTTTTTCCACAACAATGTGGACAATGCTATTTTAAAAGAAACAAGAAAGGATATTAAGAAACAAGAAAGATATTACAAATCGACTAAATTTCGATTTCTATGCCTATAATACTAAAAACAATAAAGCTTTGTCGATTTTGCGCTGCATTTTGCCATCGTTTTTATGACAGCTATATTAAATTGTTGTCCGATTTTAATTTAATTACAAAAAAAAAAAAAAATTAAAAACAACAGAGTTATAATTTTTTTGAATTGTTTTTTCCGATTGTTCCTATGGGAGCTATATGATATAGTCGCCCGATCGGGCTCGTTCCGACTTATATACCCCCTGCATCAGAAAGACAACTTTTGGTAATGTTTCAAGCAGATAGCTTTAAAACTGAGGGACTAGTTTGCGTAGAAAATTGCTCACAATATTATATTTTTCATAATTTTGGGGGCATAGGGGGAGTGGAAAAATTCTAAGATTCTAAATTCTAAGCACAAAATTGGTGTCCAAATTTAATATTACTAGTTTTAATAATGCCCGTAATATAAAATTTTGTATTGATTTTTGCGGGGGGTGGGGTTGGGGGTGGTTTTCGGTGGTGGGTGGTCAAGACACGCCCACTTTCTTATGATAGTTTCTTTAGGTCTATAGTAACATAATCCAAAAAACTGCAGTGAAAAATCTCTTTTCGTTTACTCGTAATATTAAATGCCAGATAAAGTGGCCATTTACCCCATAGTGCAACGGCGGTTTAAATATGTTATATTATATAATGTTTATGTGTATATGTATGTGTATATAATAAATTTTAATATAATTTTTATTTTATTTATTATAAATAAATGCATGCACAACTAGTTCTACTATATCGTTACGTCTGTGCCAAGAATTAAAAGCGAGGTGCAAGACAATAAACAATTAAATTGATTTTGTTCTAAACTCAAGCTTTAAATTTTTGCACAAATACCTCAGGTTCAGCGTTAGGGTCTTTCAATCCAGCTGCCACTTGCAAATCGATCAGTCGCAGGGCATCCCTCTGGCGCACTTCTTCTGTGGCGAACAGGGTATTTCGCGACCGGCGATACTTTAAGCAGGAGCTGCTATGTATTATTTATTTATTTTTATACCCTTGCAGAGGGTATTATAATTTTGGTCAAAAGTGTGCAGCGCAGTGAAGGAGACATCTCCGACCCTATAAAGTATATATATTCTTGATCAGGATCACCTCCTGAGTTGATATAGCCATGTCCGTCTGTCCGTCTGTCTGTTTCTACGCAAACTAGTCTCTCAGTTTTAAAGCTATCGAATTGAAATTTTGCACACACCCTTCTTTCCTTTGCACGCAGTATATATGTCGGAACGGCCGGGATCGGCCGACTATATCCTATAGCTGCCATATAACTGATTGATCGGAAATAACACCATAACTTTGGTGTTTGTAAAGTTAGGAAGCTGGAATTTTCTATGGGTTTTATATTTGGCCAATCAATCCGACCTACCAAATTTCATAAGGATCGGCCGACTATATCCTATAGCTCCCATATAACTGATTGATCGGAAATGCCATAACTTTGGTGTTTGTAAAGTTAGGAAGTTGGGATTTTCTATAGGTTTTATATTTGGGCAATCAATCCGACCTACCAAATTTCATAAGGATCGGCCGACCATATCCTATAGCTGCCATATAACTGAACGATTGGAAATGCCTTAACTTTGGTGTTTGTTAAGTTAGGAATGTCGGATTTTCTATGGGTTTTATTTTTGGCCAATCAATCCGACCTACCAAACTTCATAATAATCGGCCGACTATATCCTATAGCGGCTATATAACTGAACTTTTTATGAGTATTAAGAATGCATCATATGAATAATTTTGGAGAATATAATGTACAGGGTATTCTGCAAGGGTATATCAACTTCGACTCCGCCCGAAGTTAGCTTTCCTTTCTTGTTTTATGTGTCACTGTCACTAGTTGCCAAAAATAAATATTAATAATTTTAAAGTCCACCGGGGGGCGCCATGAAAAATCAGAGAGTTTTCTAAAAAAAACTGCGGTGGCTAAAATTATTAATTACGAAAAAACGAACGAACACGAAAAAAGGTGTCGACGGCTCAATTCTATATTTCGACAAAGTACTTAGAGCGAGAGAGCGAGAGAGAACTTTATTGTGCTCCCGCCTTCGCCCTAAACTAACTTACACTAAACTTCACGTCTTTAACAATTCCATAAAAAATTCACATTTGAGCCAACAAACAACACCAACGTATTTTTAAAAACCAATTAAATCCAGAACTAGTTCAAAAAACATTTTTATTCGTTCATAGCATTATTCAGGAAATAAACGTCTACTCACCAATATAAGAAAATGAGAACAACAACTGAAAGCGCAGGCGCGGGAAGTGGCTTGGTCCCGAGGGCCAGTCGGCTATGGGAATACCCAAGCATACCAAAGTGTAGCTGATGGTGTAGTCAGCCTTTGGAGGAGTTGGAAAGAAACGACTGCGTCTTCTGCGACAAGGAACCCGTTGGGCATCCCAGAGCCGGTATGGGCCAATTGACTCTAACCCGATGAGCCGGGCGAAGGGGCTTGACTAGAACGAGGTGATTATTATTTCATTAGATGGCAAGGGGAAGCAGCAGCAGGAACAGGAATATGCCGGTGGCTACTGGCGACCACTTACTCACCTGCAATGGCAGAGCGAAAATAGATAGTGTTGCACCAAGCTTGCCAGGGTGACGAAGTGGAACGCTCCGAAGTCCGACTACAAGGCGAGCCCCGGACCGATGGCCGAGCCAGCGGACGCCAACCATCAGGGCCAACACCGTGGTCAATGTCAAATTCGGTAAACCGTACAGTGAAAGTCGAAGTCGAGAAATCGCGCTTGGCGACTACTTCAACTGGCTATGTCTAAGCAACTAGAAGTCACTTACCACTGATCCGAACTGTTAAGTTACTCGAAAACCAGTGACCTGTCTTAAGCATCGGCACTGGCCGATAGTCAGGGTTATATGTTATTTGAACGAAATCGACTATACAGGGCTGAACTTGGGTTTCCCTGTCCCAAGGCTGCAATTTTAATTTAAACTAAATCAATTATCATATGTAACTAAACAATGATATCTTCGGAAATTAACTTAACAATAAGAATAAACAATATAAATTATAAAAAGACATTAACAAATTTAAAAACTTAACAACTAATTTAATACCTCCGGTAGATACATCCAAATATAATATCTTTTTTGTTAACACTCTCCCTTTTTTTTTAGGAATTCAAAAACGACCAGTTTTTTTCGTGGGTAGCCGTTATGGCCGATCAAGCGAAATTACTGCATCGGGAAGCACAGCAAATACAGAAAGCTTAAAGTCCAGACGTATTATAGTTCCACGAAACGATCGTTTTTTTCTTGGATCCCGGTATGGAAAGCGAAACGGAAAGCTTTTACTCAATTACGAACAAAACAGACTAAGTATGGCATTGAGCAGAAATTCTGGAGTTAAAGAGGAGAATCAAGTTTCTAATTTAAGTACCAGAACCCATTATACTTTGATGTCGTGCACTTATGTTGGTATAAGTAACTACTACAGCTGCATCGCGTAAGTTTTTTCCGCTCTGACCTAAACAAATAATTAACCTTCTTTCTGTGAAACTTTATTTAACACAGCGTCCACCAGAATTTTGGGCTATGGGATGAAAACACCAACTAAATATTTTGAGAAGGTTATCGGATAAACGAAAGAAGCAACCCAAACGATGGATGGATCAATAATTTAAGTTTTTAGTGGCATGCTCCTCTGGCGTCCATAGAAGCTGTTCACTGGGGCTAAAAATAATTTTTAAGTGTTTAACATTTAAAGTACTTAAAAATAATCATTAACGACAACGAGAGAAAATAGAAATTAAAGCTCCAACTAAAGGCACTGTTTCATACATCATTTGGCGTGCTTTGGGTTGATCAATTAAAATGCTTTAATTTGTTAAACATTGTCATCAAAACAAGCACAAATAAAAAAAATTTCACAAATTAATTTTCTTATTTAAACTTTTCTTGAAAACCTTTTAAGAATAAGGTACTCATACACCTTATACAAACCATTTACTTAAATGAATTTCAATTGTTATACACTTTGTAAAAACTTTCTGGATATACTTCGTGGTACACTTCTTTGTACTTTATTTTTAAATTAAAAAAAAATACACAATTGTATAATATAACGGTTCTGTTATGAAGGTCCTAAGGAGTTTTAAGACAATCGGCCAATCGAAACAACTTAAACGATTTTTTAAACAGTTTTTGGAGAATATAAAATTTAGCCCACATGATCTTTTTAAAATCCGTTCATTTGGCTGCTTTAAAAATGCCCTAATTACTTTGCTTAAGGAGGCCAAACGAGAATATGTTAAATGGCGTATTTAATTTTTATTGCTTCGTCACAAAATTTGATATCTTAAATTTTGTATTTTGACGGTGGGAGCGTAACGACTTTTACACCCGTTACATCATCTTCTGGTGCAATAATAAACACATCTTACTCATCGGGCACTGCCGGCCTAGCTGACCTCCACAACTAATAACCTTTTGGAGCTCACTTCATTTGGAATAAAGGGTTTCAAAAGTTATTTCTCAAACAGACGTCATTTACACTGTCTGTCGTAAAGCAGTTGACTCTGTACATAACCTACTTCCTGTTCGAAAACTTGACCTGTTATGATTTTCAGTTGATATCCTTGTATGGATCTTAAGTTATCTCTTATTTTTTTAATTCTCCTTCTAAAATTTTCCGTGTTTCCTTCAGTATCCCACAACCTATCTTGATCCGTTTTGTTTTACATAATTTTTTAACGACCTTCTCTCAGTAAAAAGTCATTCTTGCGTACTTATGAACGTAGATAATGTTAGTTTACGCCTGCAGTATAAGGACTCTAATTGCATGCTAATGACTTTTTATCGGTTTCCAGTTGATTTTCCTATATGGATCTTAAGTTATCTGAGTGGCAGGACACAAAGAGTTTTTTTTTAAATTCTCTTATTAAATTTCCCAGTTTACCTCCGCTGTCCCACAAGCCATCTTGGTCCCTTTTCTTACAATATTTATTAACGACCTTTACTCAGTTACAAGTCATTTTTGCGTACTTATGTACGCAGATGATGTTAAATTATGCCTACAATATAAGAATATATCTTGCCATTTAGACCTACAATCCGATCTAAATAACTTTTAAGATCTAAGTGAACGAAATTTAAACGGCTCAGAGTTCTAGGGGATAACTTTTATCCAGGGTTTTATTATTCGATAATCCTTATGTCACCGAGACTTTATTTATTTTGCTGGTCCTTAAAATTCTGGAGTATGAGTATATCTACTGAAGTCCACAACACGGAATAAATATTGCATAGCTGGGATGCAAAGCTTATCTTACCTTCTAATTCGAGAAGACTACTGTTAATTAATTTAACCGCCCTAGAAAACCGTAGAACGATGTTTGGTTCTGTCTTTCTTTATAACATTATTTGTGAGATTAAAAGCCCCGACTTGGTAGCTCGGTCTAACTTTTCTGTTTCAAGAAGACTAACAGTATATTCAACTAATATTAAAACATTGTAGAAATAAATATGACTTTAATGAGCCTTTCAGAGTGTTTTGCTCTAACTCGGAATCGTGTTGTACGATACACGGCACTCGGTCGTTTAAGCGTTTGGTAGGCCGTTGGACTCCTCGCGAAAAAAATGTATATATATGTATACTATTCTTAAATTTGTATTAACCAAAATTAAACAGCGAAATAAGTGTACAAGTAGAGGTCAATGAAACATTGTCTTGCCTTATTCAAACGTTCCCTTTGCTGCATTTTTTAAATCTGTTTAAAAGTATTTTTAAAAATAAACGACTCCAACAATAAGTCTTAAAATCAAACGAAAATAAATAACCAAAATATTTGAGTTTTTAATCATCATTAAATGCTATTATCCGAACATTCAAGTTTCGAGTAAAGTGTGATGGGGGACTGTTAGGAGTCCGACAGCATCACAAAAAAACCAACTTTTTTTTCCTACTTTGTCTTTAAACTGCTTATCAGCAACCTGTTAGAAAAGAAATTTTGAAAATTAAAACCCCAAAACTCTGATATTGCTATCACATTCGATGGTCGACTTTAAATAAAACAAGCAATTTTAACTTGAAGAAATGACAGATCTTTTTCAATAAAATATCAGCTTTTAAAATCATTTTACATACAAATCAATAACCTCTGTCACTAAGGTGGAAGATAGTATTCATTATCCAATTATATTTCTTTGCAGTATTTAACGCGTAAGTTGGTACACCAATAATGTTTCTAAAAATCTTAAGTCCCCAAAATGTATACAGGGAATTGAGACTTCAAGTGAAATCTCCCAAGTCCGGTATTTTCACAGTTCGTTCTAACCGAGAGGCAATATTCATACCACGAATTCCTTTAACGTCATCTTACTTATCTTATAAGTTAAACTTAAAAAAAAGCTGGCTTAGATCAAAGGGACGATTGCTTTCCAATGGACAGTTTTAAAAGTTAAAAGGGTTAATTCAGCAAGTAGCTTAATGATCTAAAAGGTTTTAAGAAAATGTTCATAAAATTTAAGTTTTTTTGGGGATTGGATTTACCCCAGGGTTCTGTGGAAATAAGTTTCAGTTAAATACTTAATCCGAAAAAAAAAGTTTGCTTGATCGAATTTCGTTTTGAGCAGCGTTTGGCGGGTTTACCCTGCCTTAGGATCAATGTAGTCAGTCAAAAGTTTTTGATCCGCTTTTCCATTTCCGCCCTTAATCAACTAAATTTCGCTTTACATTCAATTCTTTCTAAATATTAATTTGGCTTGTGCCATGGGTGCTAACGATGCAATTATACAAAAAAAATTTTTACCACGATTGTCACCTACTCTGATTTTGTAGTTGAGTGGAAGTTAGCCAGTAAAAGTGCGGTGTCTCTGCTCCACGTAATTCAAATAGTTTGGTTACATATCGAAAAAATTGAATTCACAAATATTTAACAGTGAGAGGAGCCTGCCATAATATACTTAATATAATATATATTAATTAATAAAGTTGGAATTAGGAAAAGGAGAAGAAGCTGGGAACGAGGTGGCCTCCAGAAGTCGGTGCAGACCGATCGCCGATTGCGTATTGTTGGTATTTTTACTCGGAATCAAATTGCCGGTAACCGCTGATTAAATTAATTAAATTGAATAAATATAAATAATATCAATTTTGGAAGAGGACCGACAAGCCTTCAGAGAGCCAAATTTTCTTTTTTAAAGTCTTCTTTTTTATATGTAGTGTCATATTCAGATCCCCTCTTATGTTAAGCAAAAGCAACACTTAGAACCAAACACCCCAGACTCCAAATGTAAACAATTAGACCCTAGCCCCTTGAACGGTACCACGATCCAAAAATAAATGCAAACATTAACAGATATAACAAATCACCTATAACCGAAACATTTAACCCTTGTTCCATCAGCTTAAAAAGGCTGACCTCTCCAAATTTCGGCTAATGCAAAGTGCAATCTTCAACAAATAACTTTTCTTTGTTTTCGAAAGCTCACATAAAATGTAAGCTCTATAAAGTCTTAAGCATCAAGTCTTATCCATCAAACAATAACCTCCCCCTTCAATAAAATTGAGATTTTTCTTGACCCTCCCACGAATCGGACCCGGCCTTCGACTAGAATATTAATTCGTAAAAATATTTTTTTTAACAAATTAAAGGATAATATTTAATTTGTGCAGCCGGTAGAATGTGCCTTAACAAAAATTTACAAGGACAAATAAAAACCGAAACACCAAATAACAAAAGAATCAGGAATTAAATAATTCCAAAAAACTACACAAGAAATATGGCAAAACTAAATATTAATAAATGAAAAAAAGAAAATCACCATGGCTCAGGAAGCAGCCCAACAACAGCAAATTCAACAATTTCAATTATTATTGGAGATCAATACCTCAAGCCTACCGTTAAACATGGTGGTGTAAGCGTCATTTTAAGCTTGTATGTCGGCAGCCGGCATTGAAATTTGGTGTTTATCGAGGGCATAATGGAAGAAAATGTTACCTCTACATAATAAAAAATGTGCTTCAAAGGCTTAAAATCCGAAATAATTTCAGGTTCTACCAGGATAATGACCCCAAGCACGAAGCCTCAATTGTGCAGTATTGGCTGGTCTCTAAGTGTGCTCATATGGTAAAACCGCCTGCACAAGATATGAATGTAATTGAGAATTTGTGGACTTTTCTGTATAACAACATACGGAAGCACAATATTATCAGCAAGGAACCGCTAAAAAAGTCTCTTTTAGATAAATGGTGCAAAATAGGACCAGAAACGGAACAAAATTGGTAGATTCAATGCCATCTCGACTGTATGCTGTCATTAGAGACAATGGGTATCAAGCAAAATACTACAACTATTTTTAAGATTAAGTGCATCATAAAAGCTGTGACCTAATAGAAAAGTACAATTTTTGTTTTTTTTTATTTTAGTCCAAACACTTGTTCGTATGAAATAAACGTAATATTGGAACGAAGTTTCTTATGGCGCGGTATGAGTTTGGCGAAGGAGGGCTAGCCGACAAAAACCGTAACGTAACGTTAAACGGAATTGACACTCAGTGCAAATTAAACTGGGTAGACTGATTTGCTCAAATTATTGTACAGGCTGAAAAATCATGGAGCAAATGTTTCTGATGAAATTTCATATGTACAGAAAGCTGAACTTGTCAACGAGGACGCAGTCCCATGTGCAATTTACTTCAACAAATTGGTGAATTGTTTGTTGAAGATTTTGCAGTCAAAACAAAACAATCCATTTGGCAAATATCGAGTGAAACATTACTTCAAACGAATAGAATTCGAGCACCGTGGAAGTCCCCATGCCCACATACTTTAATGGTTAAAAAATGCTCCAGATAATCTATTAAGTAACAGCACAGGAGTCATAGATATGGTCGACAA